CTCTGTTACCTTACCCAGGAACGAAAGGTTCGAAACTGAGTGGTAATTGGATGGATCAGAAGGAACCGGCAATGGCTTCTTCACGAGTGGTATTACAGAAATGTATTAAAATATATTAAAACATTTCTGTGTCGTCTTTTCACTCAATTTAGTCCCCAAGGCAGTGAACATTAAAATATTCCAATATTGGAACATTTCCAGTGTTAAATGCATTTAAAATACAAATATAATATATAACACACAGGGAGGATGGATAATCCCAAGGAAAACAAGAAAGTCTTCACCTCCTGACGGAAGACAGTCATACAGATGCATCTCCCTGGGGTGGGAGTTCCAAACTTTGGCACCATGACCCAGAAGGCCCTTTCTAGAGATGCCACCTGTTTAGCCTCAGATGGCAGGGGCACTCAAAGCAGGACCTCTGCGGGCGACTAGTGTGGTTGGGTAGACAGCCCTTTAGGTTCCCATTTCAAAGACCTTCCCCTAAAGGATTTTATATTCTCAAGGACTTGAGCAGACCAGTTTCTCTTTGACTGTCAGCTGCTTCCAACGTTCTGGGCTCCTGGACCATATTCAGGCCCTGTCAGCCCGTGTGCTGTTTTTTGGTTTGGATTAATTTACAGAATAATAATTTTCTGTGTGTGAATGGAGTCAGACCCTGAAGCTTGCAGATGACTCCTATCTTGCTTTTGGGTTGCCCAGTTTTGCTGCTTTTGTGATTTGCAAGGGAAAGCCACTTTGCTGTTAGATATATTAATACTATTAATGTAATGATTTCTAAGAACATTTGCTTGGTGTGAATATTTGCAATATAAATGGGTTACCCTTGTGCATTCTCTGCAAGCTTAGTGTTTGATTTTTAATTCAGCTTTATAGCACATTTGTCATGAGTGCAGTACCATATGATATCCAGGATGGTGACATAGACAATGTAAGGAGCACTTAAATATTATACTTAAGTTTAAACTTCTTGAATGAGAAGGTTCATCTGGAGAGGTCAGAGTCAGTTAACTAATAGGTTCACATTATGATACATTGGCAAATGGTATGGCTTAAATTAGCTGCATTTTATGTCTAAATAGTTTAGACATAAAATGCAGCTAATTTAAGTTTATAGTAATCAGTAGTTCATAATAAATTCAGAGTCTGCATCTTTTGGATGCAGGAAGACTGAAGTTCGCTTTTTGTACCTTTTCTTCAAAATTGCCTGATCATTTGCGATATTGTGGTCTTTGTGGTTGACAGAAAAGTAAAATGACTTTCCTCCTGCCATTTCTATACTTCACTAAATACATACTCTGCTAATCTTTAACTCAAGTAGTTTTCTGTTTTCTTGTAAATATGTTTCATGGATCTTATTTGCGATATTGTGTAATGTTAAGAGGTTTTGTTGTAAATCTTCCAACTACTGTTGATTGAAGAGGTGTGATGTCACAGAATGTTCATGAAAACTGACAGGGAATGAAACTACCAATGTTCATACTTAAGCTTGTGCGGAGGAAAGTTGTTAGTTTTAGTTTTGCTCTGATTAAAACCTTATACAATTGCCTATTACTTCCATGATTTGACCTGGAGAGAGTGAACCAGCAAGAGAAAATCTGAGTGTGAGAACTGGATTGAATGTAGGGGTGTGCAGGAAAAATAATGTTTTTTTAGATTTGGGTCTATTGGACCTGGAAAATATAGGTATTTTCCAGTATTCCTGAATCCCAGTATTGGTATGGTGTTGGGATTCAGCTAAATATTTGGGAAACCTGAATTTAGTCGGCTCCATTATACCCTATGGGGACCATCCCCGTAAGGTATAATGGATAATTTATCTGGGGGTATTCAGGGCTCTGGGGGGGGGTCTGTTTTTTGGGCAAAGCCTGATCATTTTAGGTATTTTTTAAAAACAATTTTATTAGGATATATTAATAGGTCAAACATACATCACATTGCTAAATATCATATATCCTTTTCTCCTATTTCCCCACCCCTTTTGACTTCCCACAGTGCTCCAACCTCCAGCCCATATCTTATTTTCCCTTCTTCTCTCCTTTACTCGTTAATCAAATTCTATAGGTAACATATCAATTAACTAAAATTCTTATACATTTACACTTCTTCCAAAGTCAATCTTTTTTCAATAATTTTCAAAGCAAAGTAAGTTGTTCTTTACATCCCAATATTTCTCTAAATATTCTTTAAAGTCTTTCCAATCTGCAAAAAATTCTTCTGTTTCCAGATTTTTAAGCTTTCTTGTCATTTTGTCCATTTCAACCACAAAAAGTAATTTTTTTATCCACTCCCCAATTTTGGGAGTTCTTTCCTGTTTCCAGCATTGAGCATATGTCATTCTAGCAGTTGTAATCATATACCACACCAAAGTCCTTTTCGCAATATTTACTTCTTCCATTTTAAACCCCAAAAGTAATATTTCAGGTTCTTTCTTTGTGGATGGTGGAAGAATAAAATTTGCAGCATAGCTGCTAGTGCGTCTCCTCAAACCCCCCCCCCCCAGTTTTAAAAAGATTGGACTGGGGGTCCAATTTTTTGGGCCCCCCAAGACACACCCACCATCGCTTTTAATAGAGGGGGAAAAGGCATTTGAAGAGACTGCAGCCTCTTTAAATGCCTTCTGAGTTCACTCACTGAGTTGTGCTGCTGCTATGCTACCGTCTCCAAGCTGACTTTGGTGAGTGAATTCAGGCATTTAAAGAGATCCTTTATTTTTTTAAAAAAATATATTTTATTAGTTTTCTGAAATAAAAAATTAAAAAATGGGAGTTTTGCATTGTCTTCATGTCTGTTCAAATTTCTCATACATAACAAATTTTACTGATACTTCACCATATCATAAACTGTCATTCTTTGAACTGGATCATCTTGATTGAAGTCCTGTTCTTTAGTTTGAGTCTGTTGTTTCTGCAGGTCTTCCCTCTTATTTACAGTTCCTGACTGGATGCTCTGCTCCTTTCTGTAGAGTCCCTTAAAGGTTTCTTTAACCGCCCATTGAATTTCATCCTCAAGAATCTTTTGGAATTGTTCCCAGGAAATTTGCAACTCTAGTATAGTCTCTGGGTCCTCTGGTTTATCTGCCTCTTTACATCCATTTTGAAAAGCCATTTTCTTGTCCCAGTTTGGGTCTGTTCCATGGAGCCAGCAATCTCTATACTTGTGTTTACAGTGAATCTCACTGCGCTGCCCAGTGTTCCAAAATGAAGGACTCAGTAGCCATATTAAGATCCAGGATTCAGCGTAGACCAAACAATGTGCAGTCTCTCAGTATACCTAGGAAACAATCAATCTTCTACAAATGTTTAGAAGTGGAAACACAGTCTTATATAAAGGACTCACAAAATCAGTGTAAGTTATAGTCCCTTTTACAGTAGACGTTCTTTGTCAAAAATATTAAACCAAGTCTTTCCCAGTTTGCAAGTGGTAAAACAAGAGGAGTTCTACCTGTTCAAACGGTTCACTCAGAAGTTTATCAAATTAATTTCTATCATAGGATTTTTTAACAAATATTTAAATGTTCAGATGACCATAGTTCTCTCTGCCCCCAACGGTATTTGGTTGCTTTTACATCCCAGTCTCTTCACATCCGCCCACAAAAGGGGGAGGGGGATTCCCACTCTCTGTTTCCTTAGCTTTTTGGGAGTTTGAAGGGGCTTAATCGGGAGGTCATCAAAGATTTGTTTGTTGCATTTACATGGACTCACAGTGTAGATATTATCTTCATTGATATTATGATGAGGCTCGATACTTTCTTGTGCGGGTGCTCACAGCTTGTGCAAAACATGGCTACCATGTTTGCTCAGCTCCGTGCTTCTGCTATGGGATGATTTCAGGCTGCCAGCCGCTTACTGCCACTTGCGGGGAGCCCGAAACAAGTCCCTTGCTCCCGGACCTCCCTCTGAGATGTCCAGTGGGATTTGGGAACCCCAAAAATCCCCCTAAAAAGCATGGAGAGTCGGCGATTCTCGGGAGCGCCCTGAGAATTAACCGCGCCGCTGCACCACAGCCCAGCAAGCTAAAGAGATCCTTTAAATGCCTGAGTTCATGTGTTGAGCTGCAGCACTGTGGTGTGGGCTGGCTTGGAGAAGGTCTCTTTAAATGCCTTCTCTAAGCTGTGCCTGTATAAAAGCTGAATAATGGCTTTTATTTGGGCTCTGCTATATCAGTAGCCGAATTAGATTAGATTAGAGCTACGGTGGCTCAAGTGGTTAAGACGCTGAACTGCAGGCTGTGGAAGGTCGGTAGTTCAGCAGTTCGAGACCCGGGTGCCGCAAGATGGAGTGAGCTCCCGTCTCTAGTTCCAGCTCCTGCCAACCTAGCAGTTCGAAAGCAAGAAATTGCAAGTAGATAAATAGGTACCACTTCGGTGGGAAGGTAACAGCGTTCCGTGCGCCTTGGTGTTTAGTCATGCCGACCACATGACCACGGAAATGTCTTCGGACAGCGCTGGCTCTTCGGCTTTGAAACGGAGATGAGCACCGTAACCCTACAGTTGGATTCGATTGGCTTTCGAGCAAGGGAACCTTTACCTTTATTCAGGTGAACAAATACCTGAAAAATACTGATAAGGTATTTTTCAGGTATTTATTCAGTTCAATTTATACCAAATGCACACCCCTAATTGAGTGCTTTCTGCTTTTCAAGAAGTTGCTGTAGAAGCAGAGCCATGGGGACAATCCAATAGTCCTTTCTCAACCTACAGTCTGATCCCAGTCCAGTGTCTTCCCCTATCCTTTTTAGGTTACCTTCATTCATTTTCATATGTTTCAGATTGTGATCCTGTGGGCAGGTACCTAGGATATTATAGGGGTTTTTATAAGTGGTGAGCAGAGAATGCAGCCCAAGAAGCCTTTCTGTCCTTTTGGGGAAGGTGAGAAAATTAAATACAGCTGCTCTTTCCTTCTGAAAATCATTTGTTTTGTTGTTTTGTACTTGGAGTCCAGCTTTAACTTTTAATGTGTTGAAATGAGATTTCTGATGCATTATCTTGTCTTTTTCAGGTTTACTTAAAAATAAAATGGCAGCAGAAACTCAGACGCTTAACTTTGGGCCTGAATGGTGAGTATCCTGTTTCATATGTGTATAGAGCCCCCTCCCCCAAAAAAAGGTTTTTGGCTAATGTCTGGTTTAAGTGCATTTGGTTGGAGTGGGGTTGGCAAGGGATATGAGTTGCTGAATTAGTTTTTTTAAACCATCATTTACTTACATCCTTGGTCTGTACTAAAAGCCATCAGCCTGTTATCACTGTGTTAAAGAAATCCCAAATTATGTAGGGACATCCCTATTGGAATCAACCATTCAGTGAGACTGAGGGAAAGACACATGGGGAGAAGACCCAGGAGCAGTAGGTGGTGTTATCTCCTGTTGTGGCCTTTCTAAGCTGGAAACAAATTCCTTGCATTGCTTATTGTAGCTCCTTCTAGTAGTATATGTGGAATGCACATGTTACTCATGGGTCCCTGCTGTTGTTGCACATTGCACATGGGAAACTGTTAAGATGTGTCCTTAACACCTGGCTACCATGAAAAGGATCATGGTTTTGACTGCATAGTAGTTTGAACTGAAGGTAAAGTCATTATCAGTTGTGTGTCCAGGGACTGAATGAATAAGCATAACCTTTATTGAGCCAGATAGAGATTTTTTTAGTACAAAAAATTTTTAGTGTTGGGTTTGGTGTCTCCCCCGATGTGACCTGGCTCAAGCTTGGTGGAGCTCCACTCACCTCACACTGGTGTCTCTTGAGCTGGTGGTGGTCAGCAATGCTCCCTTTAAGCTGTGGAGTCTTGTGAGCAAAAATTCTACTTTGTGAGCTACTGGCATTTAAGTTGTGAGTGAGCAATTTGGCTGCTGCATAAATCAGTTTGCTCTGGAGCCATCCTTCCTGTGCTAAGACAAAAATGGGTGAGCCAGAAGCTAAAAAAACGGTGAGCTAGCTCACACTAACTCAGCTTAGAGGGAACATTGGTGGTCAGCCCGGGCCTTCCTGTGTGTGGTCCAGGTGCTGAGCCAGAGAAGGGTTTGGGGGATGCTGGGGCAGTTAGCTGTGGCAAGAGAGGCCCTGGCAGGACAAATATTGGGCAGTGTCATCAGCAGGAGATGCTCAACATGAGGACCCAGAGACCCAGGGCTGTTGAGGCAAAATCCTGAACACCCCTGCTGGCAGTGTTCCCTCTAAGCTGAGTTAGTGTGAGCTAGCTCACAGTTTTTTAGCTTCTGGCTCACACATTTTTGTCTCAGCTCAGGAAGGATGGCTCCAGAGCAAACTAATTTATGCAGTAGCCAAATCGCTCGCTCACAACTTTAATGCCAGCAGCTCACAAAGTGGGATTTTTGCTCACAAGACTCCACAGCTTAGAGGGAGCATTGGACTGGCAATGGCTGGGCAGAGGCTGAGGGTTCTCAGGGGAGAGTGGTGGACAGACCTGATGGGAGCTGGGAGTAGGAGGCCAGCCCAGGGCAAAGAGGGAGGAGCCCTAGCTCTGGAGACCTGCATGAAGACAACTCAGTGGAGGGAAGCCAGCAGATGGAGAAGGGGATGGTGGGTGATAACTCACTGCTTATGTACTTTGGAGGGGAGTCTGGAAGAAGGAGATTGGGCCTGGAGCCAGGTGTGTGTGTGAAGCTGCAGGGGCTTTATAAAAGGAAGTCTCCCCAGCCAGCCGAGGAGGATGTACAGGCTGACCTCTGACAGGCGACCAAGGGAAGAGAGAGAGAGTGCGTAGAGAGACAGACAGGGAAGGAAGAGGAACTAGCTGACTGAACTTCCTCCTTTTCCCAATTCTGAGGCCAAAGGGAACCAGTAGGCCAGGTGAGGAAGGTGGCAGTGGGTGGGAGCAGAGCCGTGGGGTATGGGAAATCTCACAGCTGGTATAAAAGTGCCTTTAAGGAAGTTATTGTCTTTTGGGAATAATGTATGGTTCATGCCATAATCCTTAAACAGTTATGTATTAATGTAATATTTGTTGTTCAGTCACACAGTCGAGTCCCATTCTTCGCGATCCCATGGACCAGATCCCGCCAGGCCTTCCTGTCTTCCGCCGTCCTCTGAAGTTTGCTCAATTTCATGTTCGTTGCATCTATGACACTGTCTAACAATCTCATCCTTTGCCGTCCCCGTCTTCTTTGACCTTCAATCTTTCCCAGCATCAGGGTCTTCTCCAGTGAGTGCTCCCTTCTCATTTGGTGGCCAAAGTATTTGAGCTTCAGTTTCATTATCTGGCCTTCCAGGGAACAGTCAGGGTTGATTTCTTTGAGGATTGACTGATTTGTTCTTCTTGCAGTCCAAGGGACTCTCAAGAGTCTCCTCCAGCACCATAGTTCAAAAGAATCTATTCTTCGGCGCTCGGCCTTCCTTATAGTCCAACTCTCACAGCCATACATGACTACTGGGAATACCATTGCTTTGACCATGCGGACTTTTGTTGGCAGGGTGATGTCTCTACTTTTTATCATGCTGTTTAGGTTCGCCATCACTTTCCTCCCAAGGAAATCTTTTAATTTCATGGCTGCTGTCACAGTCTGCGGTGATCTGGGATCCCAGGAACGTGAAGTCTGTCACTACTTCCACAGCTTCCCCTTCTATTTGCCAAGGAGTGATGGGGCCGGATGCCATGATCTTAGTTTTTTTGATGTTGAGCTTCAAGCCCACTTTTGCGCTCTCCTCTTTTACCCTGAGCAAGAGGCTCTTTAGGTCCTCTTCACTTTCTGCCATTAGAGTGGTATCGTCTGCATATCTGAGGTTGTTGATCTTTTCCCCAGCAATCTTAATTCCCGCTTGTGATTCATCCAGGCCAGCATTTCGCATGATGTACTCTGCATATATATTAAATAAGCAAGGCGACAATATACATCCTTGTCGTACTCCTTTTCCTATGCTAAACCAATCAGTTGTTCCATATCCGGTTCTAACTGTCGCTTCTTGGCCCTTATACAGGTTTCTCAAGAGACATGTGAGGTGGTCTGGTACTCCCATCTCTTTAAGGACCTGCCATAGTTTGTTGTGATCCACACAGTCAAAAGCTTTAGCATAGTCAATGAAGCAGAAGTAGATATTTTTCTGGTACTCTCTTGCTTTCTCCATAATCCAGCGAATGTTGGCAATTTGATCTCTAGTTCCTCTACCTCTTCGAAACCCAGCTTGTACTTCTGGTAGTTCTCTATCCACGTACTGTTGAAGCCTAGCTTGTAGGATCTTGAGCATGACCTTGCTAGCGTGTGATATGAGTGCAATTGTGCGATAGTTTGAACATTCCTTGGCATTGCCCTTCTTTGGGATTGGAATGTATACTGATCTTTTCCAATCCTGTGGCCACTGTTGCGTTTTCCAAATTTGCTGGCAAATGGAGTGCAGCACTTTAACAGCATCATCTTTGTAATATTTACTTCATTGTAAACATACATACTTTAAAGCAGTCCTTGACAAATTTTCTTGGGACCTCGGAGCCAACCCAGTATTGTCATTGTCATATTAAGCAGGGCAGGGTTCAAGTTTTGTGGGCCCTTGGTACCAGAGTAAAGCTGGCTCACCTTTTCCCTTTGGTACCATCTCTTCTCGAGCGCAGTCCTCTTCCCTACATTGGCTGCTTACAGTTGACTCCATATTCCTCCTCTGCTGAGCATGGGGAAGAACAGCAGGGCTCCTGCATGCCAGGCCCATGTTTATACCCTTCAAACATGCTGACATTTAGGGCCACTTTATATGTTTCACAGGGAAATCATTGAAAAATAATTCTAAGCAGCATCTCACTAGCATAATATGTAAAACCTTTAACCACCTGGAAAAGGGTTCCTCTATGTTGCATTTTCATGCTAGTATTAAACAGTTCAGATGACTACTACTGGGGTTTGGAGGACATGTATGAGTTCAGGCTAGTGGCCAAGGCACAGGGCTATTAAACACATTTATTGATTGATTGATTGTTTTGATTTGTATGCCGCTCTCCCCATAGACGGACTCAGGGTGGTTCACAACAATCTCAGTACAATGTAATTAAAAATTAAACAACAATTAAAACAGTAAAACCATAAAATACCATGCAAAAAAGCTAGTTCTGATGTCAGTTAAGCAATATTGATGTTAAAATCCAGACCACTGATGTCAATTCAGTAGTACCGATGTTAAAATCCAGGCCACTGAAGGGGAGATAGCCAGGAGAGAAGAGGGACGTCCGCTGCCTCAACCAAAAGCCCAGTGGAAGAGCTCCATCTTGCAGGCCCTGCGGAACTGTAATAGATCCCGCAGGGCCCTGATCTCATATGGGAGCTCATTCCACCAGGTGGAGGCCAGAGCTGAAAAAGCCCTGGCCGAGGCTAGTCGGACATCCCTGGGGCCGGGGACTGCTAGGAGATGTTGATTCATAGATCTCAGTGTCCTCTGGGACTCATATGGGGAGAGGCAGTCTCGAAGGTATGCTGGCCCCTGGCCATATAGGGCTTTAAGGGTAAGTACCAGCACCTTGAAATGAATCCGGAATTCAATAGTCAGCCAGTGCAGTTCACGCAGCACTGGGTGGATGTGAGCCCGCACAGGTGTTGCCATCAACACCCGTGCTGCCGTGTTCTGCACTAGCTGCAACTTCTGGAGCAGGGTCAAGGGCAGCCGCATGTAGAGAGAGCTACAATAGTCCAGTCTGGAAGTGACCGTTGCATGGGGTGAGATAAGGGGCCAACTGCCTGATCTGTCTCAGATGAAAAAAGGCTGACCTGGCAGTGGCGGTAACCTGAGCCTCCATAGAAAGGGAGGCATCCAGGAAACACCCCCATTGAAAGTTGGGAGACTGATTCCCTGACTCAGTCCCCTGTGGCTCAGGTACAGGACCTCCGTCTTAGATGGATTTAGCTTCAGTTGGCTCTCGCAACCATCCAGCCACAGCCTGTAATGCCCCATCCCGATCACATGGGACCCCATCCGGGCAGCCGTCCATCAGTAGATAGAACTGGCTGTCATCTGCATACTGGTGACAACCCAGCCCATACCCTCGGATAATCTGGGTGAGGGGGCGCATATAGATATTGAACAACATGGGGGAGAGAATTGCTCCCTGTGGCGCACCACATTT